GTGTGTGTGTGTGTGTAGTTGGAGGTAACATACCTAAATCAAGACCTTCCACAGCAGGAAGTCACTATGTAACACTACATAAAATTGAAAAATCAAGAAACAACATTATAAGCATATTTTTAGGTTATTCTAGAAAAAGAAACCAGTTTAAAGAGTTTAAAGTAGGATGGATGACTTTGGGAGTGAGGAGGAGTTGGGGCAGTTCTGTGTTTCAAACATGTGCATGTATTACCTTAATAAAAGTAAAATTTTAGTTGCTTTAATTTTGTTAAAAAGAAAAGCAAATGTCTCTGCGATGCCCGGCAGAGAGTCTGGCTCTGACCTGGCCTCCGGGATGGGCTGGCTCCAGGCGTTGGGACACTGAGGAGGAAGGGTGGGAGGAGGAATGAACGCGGGGGTGGGGGTGGGGGTTCTTTTTGAATTGTAAGGGACACACCCCATCATCAACTCTACAGGGGAAGCTCTTGCTGGCAGCTGCCGGCAGCTGCAGATAAGACCACAAAAGGGGAGGGTCCGAGACAGAGCAGAGGTGCTCGAGCTGGCCAAGCCAGGGCCAAGCCCACTGACTCAGACATTGCAAGCTGGTGAACTCGGGGGCAGCCTGAACTTCACAGCAGCTGCTGTGCTGTTTGTAAACTCCCTCGGAGAGGCCAAGCGGATAATAGCGTTGCTAGGAGATGTGCTTCACAGGGCAGCAGGCTTCCTGGGAGGACCTTTACGTGGCTGGGAGGAAAGTTGGGACAGGCACGGCCTGAACAAAAGGGCTTCTGGGGTGGGGGGAGCTACCAACCATCTGCTGCTGCCTCTGAGGCCTGGAGTGAGGATGGTGCGGAGGACCCGGCGGTGCCCTCCCTTCTGCCATGCGCCCCAGACTTCGGGGCCCAGGAGAGAAAGGAGCCTATACTTGCCCCCCATCACATAGGAGACACACCCCCACTCCGCCCCCAGCAGGGATCAGCTCTTTGCTTCTGAAGAAACCAGTCGGCATTGGCTGCTCCTGGGCACCGTGCAAGGCTGGCAGCTGAACGGAAAAGGGTTCTCAGCCCCACCTTCCCAATCCCCAGCCTTTACAGCTCCCCAGGTGCCCAAAGGTCTCCCTGGGGACTCCAGTGCTTCCAGGAACACCAGGCGCTAGAGCCCCAGTTATGCCCTGAGCAAGTCCCCACCTGGCCGCAGTGTTCTCACCTGACAGAGCCGGGCCAGCCTGGGGATTCAATGAGGCCCCATGTGGGCGAACGCAAGGCATGCAGCAGGTGTTCAATAAAGTCCCTTATTCATTCGAAAAATGCAGAAGGAGTGAGCACCCATCACGTGCCTGGCTCTGTCGCACAGGCTCTCCGCCCAATCCTGCTCTCATGGAGCTGACAGTCCACGAGGGAGACGGAGCAAACCGGGCTCGCAGGCTGTCTGAGCTTAACTGCAAACCGCGGTGAGGCCGAGAGGACTCGGACAGGGGGTCTGGGAGTGGGAGCAAAGGGGAGGCCTTTCTGAGGAGATGCTGGAGGCAAGATGAAGGAGGAGGCTCTGCAGCCACTGGGGAAACTGATGTGCCGGGTGGGCGGGAAAAGGGGTCAATGTGACCGCAGGGCTGGTGGGGCACAGTCTGTGCCTGTCAGGTGCCTGCATTCCCTCGCCAAGTCCAAAGGCATTTCCTGTGCCCTGCGAGTCCTCAGGGATGCACAGGTTCAAAGTGGGACAAGAAGAGAGACTCTAGCTTCTTTGGGGATGAGCATGCTGCACCCCAATATCCACTGAGCCCAGGGCTGGGGCAAAGCCCTCTGGGGTCTGGGAAGCAAATAACCAGTCGTGGTCAGAGCTGCCGGGCCTCGGCGTAAGGAATACCAGGTCTGGTCACTCTACCTGAAACCAACAGTGCAGGTACAGGGAGAAAACAGGAAAACGCAGGACCATGAGAGGAGGGTGGGCATCAGAGCAGGGATCTTGAATTCAAGGGCCCTCCTTCCCATCCCTGCTGGCCTCTCTGGGTACAGGCCAAAGCATCGCTGGCCTGTGACTTGTCTTGGGGCCTCTGGCCACCCCCTCCCCTTCACCCACCCACCACCTGGAGATTTTCTAAACTGCAGTTTCCAATCACATCGCATTTTTGTGTATCACCAGTAAAAAGAAAATCTAAGTTTCCCTCTGTGTCCCACAAGGCTTTGTGTGTCCCCGTCCCTGCTCCCATGGCAATGCCCTCCGGTTGCTGGTCTCTCCTCTGGCCGTGGCCGGCCCCCTGCACAGCTCCCAGCACCTCCCAGCCCAGCACGCTGGGACTCCTCTCTGCCCAGAATGAATGCTCATCCACGGTACGACATGGCGGACGCTGACTCATTCTCTAAGACACTGCTCCCTGCCCACCCCAGGCCAGGGCCACTGGGACAGAGCAGAGCGTCCCTGTCCCCTTGCGCTGACAGTTTAGGTGGCACAGACGTCCGGAGAGCAGGCGGGTTGAGGGCGGGCTTGCCCAGGGCCCAGCACAGGGCCTGGCCGGTGCTTGCAACTTGGTATAGGAGCGGGTGATGCTTTCACACCACACATGAGAACTGCCCCCCGAAAGGCAGCGAGTCACCTGTCCCAGTAGCACAGGCTCCTCCAGGGACAAAGCCCTCAGAATTAAGACACGTGGGGATGGAGGTCCAGTCCTGCTACCACCTTACCGCGGACCCCTGGATAAGCCCCTTACCCGTCTGTACCTGGGGCTTCTACCTACAAATGGACCACTCATTTGCTGCCCACTCCCCCATCAGAGATGCCGGCACTGAGAAATGAGACACAGGTGGAGGGTCCCTGCTCCCAGGTCTCTGTGGAGGTGTTTGGGGGCCACATCACAAAGCGCCTCAGCAGGTGAGACTCTGGCTACACGTGTGCTGGTACCTGGATGGAAACCGTGAAGGGGTTCAAGAAGTGACGGCTGGCCCTTCAGGGAGGAAGCTGGGACACCCAGACAAGGTGGGCGCACAGCCCCCGGCCCGGCTCTGCAGCCCGCTCCCCCGGCCCTCCCGGCGCCGCTCGCGCTGTCCTCACCCTCGTAGCAGTCGCGCACGGTGCCGAAGTACACGTAGTACTGGTCGTTGGTAAAGAAGAGGAGGCTGAGCCAGGAGTCGAAGGCGTAGATGGGCACGATGAATAGGACGCGCACGATGTAGCGCTGCTCGTTGGGGCAGCTGTAGCAGCGCAGGTGCATGTAGATCTGGGGGCAGAGGGGCCGGGTCAGCCAGAGCCCACGGCCCGCCTTGGCCCGCCTGCTCCACAGAAGGAGGAGACCAGCCCGTGTCTAGCTCCGTCCTCACTAGCGCTGGGACCAAGTTACTCAACCCTGAGCCTTGGCGTCCTCCTCTGTAAAGTGTGACGACACAAAACTTCCGTCGCGAGGCTGTGGGAGCATCAACCACGGGGCGCGTGAAGCTTGCAGGCTGCGCGTGGTGGCCACGGGGCCACGCCCGAGACCGTGCACATCAGCCAGGGATGTGCCGGCATCCACAGCTGTGACGAGCTCCCTGGGGACCCGTGTGCACGGCCAGGTTTGGGAACTGGGTGCCTGGTGCAGAGGAGGCTACTAACAAGCGTGTGCGTGTCCCTCCGCCGCCTGGCCTTTCTAAACACCTGGCCCCTGGGGCATGGAGCTAAGACACAGGCGTCCAGGTGGTCGCCCACCCCACCCTGTCCCTTAACTAACTTATGGTGTAGAGGGCGGGAGGGACGGGACCCTCACTTTCACAGAAGGTGGGAGCACTTCCTGGCTGAATGGCTGCAGTGATGGCCTGTCTCATTTTCCCATCTGTTGAACAGGCGCAGTGCTGCCTGCCTTGCTGGGAAGTTGGGAGAATGCAATGTAGTTTTTAGAAAGCAGGAGAAAAAAAAAAGCTGCATACAAATGCCAAGAACTGCTCTAACCACGATGCACAGTCCCAGCAGCCAGAGTCTCTCGTCTCCGCTCCCATGACTTCATGCTTGGCCCAGCCGAGCCCTGGGCTTGCGAGGAAGAGAACAAAGTATTCCCCATCTGCTGTGAGCCAACCACCTTGGAAGCAGTCGAGTTCTAGAAGGGACGGAGAACACTGGGACCCGAACAGGCTCAGCCTCCCCTCTTCGCTTGGCAACCTTCAAACCTTCCTAAGGGCAGCCAAGGCACATCCCAGCCCACGGCAGCCTCCCCGGGGACAGCGAGCACAGGGGGATGCGAGGCTTGACTTCTATCCCAGCTCCGCCACCAACCTGTACGTGACTAGGCTAGTTCCCCTCCCTCCTCCCTCTCTGGGTGTCAATTTTCTCATCTGCAAAGGGGTCACTGCCATCCTGTGCCCCTGCACAGTTCCCAGGCTCCCCTGCAGTTTAGGCTAGACACATGACCAGTTCTGGCCCTTGGAAGTGGGCCATTTCTGGTTGAGAAGGTTAAACACCCAGAGTGCTTTCTGCACACGCCCCTCCCCATAGTTGTCAGATGGATGATGTCTTTAAAGCTGCAAGATGCTGGAGCCACAGAACGGAAACTGACCTGCACTGGGCTGACAGAGCAGGAACCTGACTCCCCCGGGTGAAGCCCCTGAGACTTCGGGCTTATTTTTTACTGCAGTGCGGCCCGGCCTGGCCTAACTAATACTCTGTTGGACAACAAACCTTTTAGGACCTCCCTAGTGGGCTGGGGCTCACTGGCTCAGGGGCTCCTGCCCGGCCTGGGTACCTGGTGGCAGGTGATGAGCAGGGCCGTCCAAACGAAGAAGCCAGAGATGGCCTGAGCGGCGGTTGTCATCAGGAACACGGGCTGCTCCATGGCTGTGGGGCTGCCTTCGGGCATCACGGAGACACTGGGCGAGGCTGCTGCTGTTGTGGGCGACGCTGGATCTGGGGCCAGTGCGGCCCCCCTCACAGTCATGGTGCCTGGCAGCAGGGGGCTTCCTGAGAGAAACCTTCGGGGTAAGCGATGAGCTGGCCTAGAGAGAGGGAACCGCAATGTTAGCCTCCTTCCAAGCGTCAGTGGCGGTGTTGGAAAGAACCTTCCAGGTCTCTACTTCCACCTTCAAAATGTGACCAGACCCTGACCACGTCTCACTCCAGCCCCCAGCATGTCTCCCCTGGATTAATGGAACAGGCTCCTGACCAATCTCTCTGCTTCTGCCCTTGCCCACACCATCCCCACACGGCAGCCGTGTGAACCTTGTAAGATGTTAGCCAGACTGGGTCCCTCCTCTGCTCAAAACCCTCCAACAGCTCCCATCTCCATCGGAGTATAAGCTGCTGTCCTTACAGAGCACGTGCGCCCTCCATGCTCTCTGATCTCATCACAATTCCCATCTCGATCCTTCCCTCCGGCCACACTGGCCTCCTGCTGTTACTTGGACACGCCAAGCCTGCTCCTGCCACAGGGCCTTTGCACTGGCTGTCTCTGCCCAGCCATACAACTTGCTCCCGCACTTCCTTTAGGCCTCTGCCCTGACCACCTGCTCAAATGTGGCAAGCCCTCCCTCACCCCAGGTGCTCCTGACCACTTGGCTTTGCTTGATTTCTCTCCAGAGCACTCACTACCATCCGACTCCATCTGACAAACTGTACATTACTCACATGTTCATTAAGTGCCTCCTGCACCAGACACAAGCTCCCTGAGGGCAGGGGCCCCGTTCTGCTCAGGACTGGAGCTCTGGCACTTGGAACAGTGTGGGCACACAGCAGGTGTTCAGTAATTACCTGCTGGCTCCGCCCATCTTTACACCTCCGGCTCTAGCAAGATCACTTTAGCACTGAGGGATCCCCTCTACGGGTATGTGTCTTTTCTTTGCCATCTCTCCCCAGTTTCCCTAATGGCTAACATCCATTCCTCACCAACCAGCTGTGCCGTTCTGGAGACTTTGTGGCCCTTCCCCACCAACAAACTGCTCACCTTTTAATTTAGCTCATGTATCACTCTTCCTAAAAGCCTGTCCTGTTCACCTTCCCCAGTCAGGTACTCCCATGCATCTCACCCGCCTCTGTTGTTCTACATAACACGCCATTCTGTCATTTGCTCGCGTTTACCCTCCTAAGACTGCCTACTCTTTGAGGCAAGACCACTTTTCCATCTTTAAATCCCCAGCACCGAGCTGAGCACCAAGGCCATTTGTAACATTTATTTTATTATCTGTTGATTTTCACAACTTATTTCAAAAGGAATTTGAGGTACTTCAGAGAGAAGCAAAGAACAGAGTTGAGGAAGCTGGCAGAAAGGAAGATTCTGGGTGGGAGAGATGGGAGTGGGCGGGACACAGGATGGCGCTCCAGGGTCCCAGGCAGTTACCCCAGGTGGGCTGTCATGTCAGCCCCGCACTTCCTGGTGGCAACAAATGAATGGTTTCACGCTGGACGGTAACCCAGATGTTATGGGAAGAGCTGTTGTTAGGGATCTCCTGGCAAGTTTACAAACAGGGACCAATGCTGGCCGGGGGCTAGACCCGCTCTCAAAGAGCAAAGCCATTCTGTCAGAACCACCCGGAACTGCTCTTGGGAGGGCTGGCCACTCCTGCATCCGCGGGCTTCCGAGACCCAAGGCCCTGACGGAAGTGCCTTTCAGTGCTGCCACCTGTTGACAGGTTAGGCATGCCGTCCTGGGGCCACGGAGTCTCCTGGCGACAGAGGCCCTGGAAGACTAACCTGCAATGGACCAGGCGACCAACCAACCACTGATGCAAACAGATGCAAAGGTGAGAGTCGAAAGGGCCCTGGCCGGGGCTCATGTCTCAGCTCCACCGCAACCAGCCATGTGTCTGCACGGGTTCACTGGGCCCAGAGGGTCCCCACTGCCTGACCCAGAAGATGGCCAAACCCCCAAACCCAACCATCTCAGCCTGAACCCTGAGGTCAGCCCAGATGACCTCTCCCCGTGCCCTCCCAGTCTGAGCTGATATTCTCAGCCAAAACATTCTGACACCGACGGGAGGTTTCCCTGGGCCTTCCTGGGGTGCACCATGACCCCGCAACAAAGAAGAGTCTCTTTGACCGCCCTTCTGCCCCCACCTGAGCCATGTCTGCTCTTAGCTGTAAGTTATTACCCCAGGAGAGCCCTCTATATTGCTATTTTCCTATAAAAATAAATGATCTCTAACACACCAACCGAGAGAAGAATCTAGATTAAAAACTCAAAACTGGAGACGTCATCTATATAAAGAAACTCAAAACTGGAGAAGGTGTCTATATAAAGGCTGGTGGTGCTTTGAAAAAGAGACACAGTGACAAGACTAAGAATAGCTCCTGTAAGTATGGTTGCAAAACTGAAAACCAGTGCCAGAAATATTTCCAGCAAAAGAAGATTTGGGTTGTAAATCATCATCTTCGTCTGTCATCCCAAATTAAATGAACAAACACAAGGAAATGGGAGGGGGGCTTCAGGAAGTACAAATACTCCCCAGTCTTCTCCTTCTGAGCCAGGGCCGGGCGTGTCAAAGGCTGTTTTGTTGAGAAGGCCCTGTACAGACAGACTCCCCAGAGGGGAGACCGCTGAGCTCTGACCCCACCCTAACCCGCACCACAGGTAACCCTCCAGGGCATCTGTGTGGCCTGTGGGAGCTGATGAAGGCTCCGCCCTGTTTCTTGCTGGGACTCTGCTTCCTCACACTCAAGTGCCCTCCTTATGTAGGTCATCTGGTTCCCAAGAAGTTCACTCAAGAGAGGGCAGGTGACCTGCCCCCAAATTAGACGCTGGACTTAAACCCAGGTCCTCTAACACGTTTTAGGTGCCTACTGTCTACCAACCCGGGCCGTGGATGAGCTGCCCTCGGGCTCCAGAGCCCCCTTCCAGGACAGGGGTCACGGCCATCTCACCAGGGCCCTGACTTCTTGCAGGAAGGGGAGGGAGGTGCTTCCCAGGAGGGGAAGCCAAACCTGGGCGAGCACTCCGGCGGCCCGTCCCGCACTGGCCACGCTCCATACTGGGGGCCCTGGGATATACAAACCATTTACCTTGCTCTCCGGCGGCCCTCGCTGTTTGCAAACCATTTTTCCCAACATGATCTCATGCTTTCTCTCACAGCAATTCTGAAGTAAGTAACGTTATCTACATCTTAGAGATGAGAAAAATGATGTGAAACTGGGTTTTACAGCTTGCTGGGGTAGCACCAAACGACTTGAGGGTTTTCATAATAACCCCCCAAAATACTTCAGGCAATGCTCTGACTTACAGATGCAGGGTCCCCAGCACCCAGAGAGGCAGGTGAAGGCAGCTCCTGGAAGGCTGTCTCCCAGAGCTCACCCTGTTCCCAGGATCCCAGGCAGCTCACAGCACTAGACCCCTGAAAACTTCACAGAGTGTGGGTGCTGGTGGCAGAGGATGTACACTGGGGTCCCATCCTTTCACACTTGGGACGGGCACCTACCTGGAAAGGACCTCTGCCTGCCCGGGTCCCACAGGTGAGCAGGACACTGGCCCGGTGAAGCCCCGGACCTGGGAGAAGTGGGAGTTTGCTCCCCAGGGAAAAGCCCCAGCCCACCCCAGCCCACCCCGGCTGCCTTTCTTCAGTGCGGCACACACATGCCAGAGGGGGGGACACACGGATGCAGCTCAGAACCCCAGGTGCTCTGGCAGGTCCCCTGTATTTTCTAAATCGACTGAACGTTAAACTTCTGCCAGGGTCAGGCAGAGAGCCTGAGGGGATACACTGGAGTCATCTTTCCAACAAACACATCCGGAGGCCTCTGGATGCTGTGCTGGGCATGGAAGACCTGGCCTCGGCCTCAAGGACTCACAGCTCCTCTGCACGCCTGCTCGATGCAACGGGGCTACCCGGAGGCCTTACTTACCCCACCGCACTGCACAAGGGTGAGTGCCGAGCACCCAGGGAACCCCGAGGAAGCACCAACTGCCTTGGCCAAGGCTGGGGACAGGGGTGGGCTAGGCTTTGAAGCGGCAGGAACTTTGGGGCAGAGTCTCTATGGAGCGTAACCGAGCTTCAGCTGTGAAGTCACCAAGCCGAGTTCCTGCCAGACTCCACCGCCTGCTGGCTTGACTTCACCTCTCAGAGCTTCAGCTGCCTCATCTATAATATTTGAGGGTGACGACGTCATTGTCGGGGGAGTGTTCCGCTTTACACAAGCCCATTAGTAAATGGAGACAGAACGCGACCAAAAAATGACCATTTTGCAACTCCTAACACAAATAATGGGCATAGATACAGATCATCAGTGGATGATGAAACCACTAAGTGAGAGGCTGATGGGGAACTTGATAAGGGATGGAACAGGCAGCACCCTCCAAACCCACAGTCAAGGTCAACATCACTAAAGAGGGGCAGCCAGAAGTGTTGAGCCCCCTAGTGAGGTGCACAGGCAGCACACAGCACCAACTAGGAAGGACCCTCACCCCAAAAGTGAACTGGAATCAAAACAAGTCGCTAGAACTAACCACCAGTATCCAGGAAATACAGAGGGTAGCAAAACAGATGATACCACCAGGAAGTAGGAGCCAAAGCCAGACCACGGGACGGTCTATAGGACAAATGACCTGGTTTCTCCCAGGAATTAGTGGCTTATAAACAAAGGTGGCTGAGGGGCTGTTATAGAACAAGGGCCAAGGAGACGTTACACTAAATGCAATGTCTACTAGACCTTGTTGGGTCCTGATGCGAACAAACCAATGATTAAAAGAAGACATCTTTACATCTTTGAAATACACAGCACACAGGAATTCTTGCCAATTTTGTTAGGTGCATGGTGGGTATGTAAAAATAAAAGTCCTTATCAATGGAGGAAGAATGATCTTTTTAATAAATAGTGCTGGAACAATTGGATATCCAGAAGCAAAAAAGAAAAAGAACCTTAACCTAAACCCTATACCATATATAAAAATTAATTCAAAACGGATCATGGATTTAAATGTAAAGTGTAAGACTACAAAACTTTTAGAAGACACAGGAGAAAATCCTTGAAACCTAGGGCTAGGAGAAGTGTTCTTAGACTTGACACCAAAAGC